CCCTCTTTCCTAGCAGGGAGTGTTCAAACCCAGCAGAGCTAGCCAACCCTCTGGCCTCTACTGTTGGGCTCTTTTTGTATGCCTCTTTCTGTTTTCCAGGAGCAGATTTCAAGAATATGGCTTCGTCTTGGCACTCCGAGACCACCGCTGCACTTGGATATTCTGTTACACAGAAATGTGATTCCTTTGTGGATTTTTCCGCAACCTCTCTCTTTTGTGAAGAATTGTGTCTTAAATGGCACATTTCTGAAGTTTGCTCATCTCTCTCTGGCAGGTCACCATAACCAGCAATGTATGTCCCCACAACAGTGGCTGATGCAGTTTTCCCACTTCCGTATTCCTCTTTCCACCCCAGATCAGAAGGTGAAGAAGCGGTAGAACTGGGTGAAATGGACTCCTGACGCTTGCTTTGCATAAGGGGTTCTGATACATGAAACTTGTCCATTGCTGAGATGTGTGCGTAGACTGTGCCTGCAGCTTCAACAGGGCTGTGCAGTCTAGACTCCTTTTCAGATTTCTCCTTAGCGCCTTTTTCTAACTCCGAGTCACTCATGCTTTCTTCCCCTTGACCTGCTTTCTCATAGTATGTATCTTTGGGACTTGGGCTTTCAGATTTCAGGGACAGTGATACCTGCTCCTGGCCAGAAAAAATGATGTTCTCATCTGGGTGAGCAGCATCAATACAGGCAGCTGATTTTTCATGATAAAATGTGTCGGTCATGTCTGTGGGAGAGGCAAATGCTGTGCTTGCAGATGATGGGTGCAGTTCAGAGTCCAGTTCTTCTGGCAAAGCAGAAGACACCTTCAGTTTTTCCTGTCCTGCAGATACCCTATGCTTCTCTGTTTCAGACAAGGGTAAGTATCTTTCATGGATGTCTGTATAGTCAAAGGCTGAATCTGCTTTGTCTTTAGGGGATGCCGGAGATGACAACTCCTTCTCAGCAGAGGTATAAAGGCAGGACTCTTCTTCCTTTGCAGAGACATGAAAACTTTGATCTTTTTGAGAGATCAGTGCTGTTGCTGGCACCTTGTCCGTGTGACTCGGGATGTCCGCACCCTTGGGTGCAAAGGGGGAGGGTCCAGCTCCGGACACAATTATCCTCTCATAGATGTCAGCATACTTGAAACTCCTTTCATCAGGGTAGGGAGTTGGTTCTCTTTCCTCTTGCTCTTGTCTTGTAGAACTGTCATCACCTCTGGGTCTGCAGACCCCTTCCTCATAGGAATAAGGCTCAGGGGAGCTCCTGGAATAGGTCTCTGGAGGATATGCCGCTCGGCTGGCCTCAGCATGGCCCATGGAAGCACTGCTTTTTTGACAAGGGCCTTGTCCTAGAGGGGAGTGTGCACACTGCCCCGACACCGCAGCACTTTCTTCTGGGGATGCTGCTATGTATTGTGCTGGTTTCGTAGATTGTAACAGAGTAGATGCTGCTGCCATCTGCTCTTTCCTTCCTGTAGAGTCAAAAAGACGCTCACTGGATTTGCAGCCCTCCTCTTGCTTTCTATCTGACTTGTATTTGCTGTCGATTTCCTGATACAAACTGATGTCTGATTTCTTCTCTGTGTCCTTTGATGGGACATCTTCCCACAAAGGTGGCTTGCACTGATCTAACTTGTAAGGCCGTTCTGTTTCTGGTGTTGTGTCAATCTTCTTTTCCGGAGTGGTAGCCATTACGGACAGGGGAGATGCCATCAGTGCTTCGTCTAGTGACTTTGCATAGATATCTAGGACAGCTTTCTCCTCATCATCTAAATAGGAGTAACCTTGTTTAGATGTTGACAGCAATTCTTGCCTTTCTTTGTTTCCAGTTAATACTTTGGCCTGATTTTCCTCACCAGAGACATATTGAGAAGACAGAGGAGAACTTTCTGTTTGTGTTCTTTCTGAGAGAGTGACATCAGCAGGATCTATTTCCACTTTCTTTGTTTCTAATGTAGGTTTGGCACTCTTCTGTGCGTCTTCTTTGTAATCACATGATTCCATCTTTAAACATCCTGCTCCCGCTTGCAGTACCACAGGTTTGTCTTCAGCACGACGGAGAACCTCATCTTCCTCACTGGGTAACTGTCCTCCTCTTCCAGTCTCTCTTCCTTCCTGAAGATACCCATATGCAGAGCCCCATGCTTCACTTTCTGTTCTTCTCCAGCTGTGACTGCCAGGCACTGTAGGAGGCAGGATCTCCTCCTCTGCCATTTCAGGAAGGGGTTTTGTTTCATATTCCGGTACCTCATCCAAGAATGTGCTCTCTCTCTCTTTATCATATCTCTGCCGCCTTCCCTGAACAGGGATCTCCTCCACCTCTTCTGGAAACCACACTTTCTTCTCATAACTTAAATCTTTCATGTAAAAGTCTTCCATTTCTGGAGATTTTTCTTCTTGAGCTTCCTTGAACCTGCAAGATTTTACACTTTCAGGAGAAATGTGTGAAGATGTTTTATCCTCAGTTGGGCTAGACTCAGTGAAGTGTAAGCCCTTTGCATCAGGAGATACTTCCCGACAGTCCAAGCCTGCAGTTCTTCCCCTGAATGGGCCCTTTTCTGCTGAAGAAAATAAACTGCTGTCATCTGGAGACATTTCTTCCGTTGAAGTATCTCTGGGTGATGTGTCTTTAACTGGGCTACGTTCTGGGCGAGGAAAAGATTTTGACACTTCTTTCACGAGTTCTTTGGGAGAAATTTTCAGTGATTCTTCATATGCAGCTGGGCTCTGCTCTGTGAAATCCATGGACTTCACAGCTTCTGAAGTGAATTTATCAGTAAAGTCAGACATAGTTTTTTCTTTTGCAGATATCTCTTCTGTGAAACTAAGAGATTTGATGCCTTCTGGAGAAATTCCTCTAACAAAAAGATCTGAAGATATTTCCTTGCTGGGACTCTCAGTGAGAGAAATGGATTTGGTCTCTTCTGGAGAAATGTCTTTAATGGAAACATGAGAAGGTTTTTCCTCTTCTGAGGTGTCTCCTGTGAAATACGGCAGTTTTCCTTCTTCAGTAGTCACTCCCTTAACAGAAATATCTGAAGATTTTTCTTTACCAATACTTTCTTCTGTAAATGAAAGTGATTTGGTGTCATCTGGTGAAAATTGGGAAGATTTGTCGCTTTCAGATTTGCTTTGGCTTGTGAACTGTGGAGCATCCACATTTCCTAGAGACGCTTCTATGGTAGACGATGGCTCAAAGGACAAGTGTTTTGAAAATCCCATTAAACTTTCTGTCATGGTTTTAGTTCCTTGATCTTTTTCCGGCCCCAGAAACGCATCTGTGCTGGGATGGGGCAGCACGGGACGATCCTCCTCCTCCCCTATCACCACTGTGTCCTGCTTGTGGTAGGAGAGCCAGGGCAGCTCCTCCTTGCCCACCAGTGCTTCCTGCACCTCCTCCCCAGGAGGCACTGCAACGCCACTGCCCACGTCCAGCTTGCGCTGTACAGGTCCAGGCACTTCTTTTTCATGTCTGTATTTAGCTGCAGACACCTCATCTTCTCTGAGAGGTTCACCCTTCACCACAACAGAAGTTTGGCCTTCCAATTTCCTGGCAGCAGCATCTGTTTGTTTTTCAAACAGATCTGAATCTACTGTTTCTAGTTTTTCCTCCACTGGAGACTGGTGGAAAGGTGTGTGTCCTGCGCTAGTGGGGCCCGATGGGGTGGGAGAGGCCATTTTGACTGTACTATCATCAGGACTCATGCATCGTTCTTCAGCCTCTGCAGAGTCAACCTGGGAAAACGGTGTTTCTTCAGTGGATAATGGCAGACCAGAAGTTTGCACCACTTCTGTGGGAACGCTGATTAACACATTATCAGGACATGCTTGATGAGAAAACATGGGTGCATCGTAATGCCCTCTGAGTTTCCCAGGAATTTCAATATTTGGTGTCCCATCTTCTTCTTCCTCTTCCTCTTCTGCCTCTTCGTGAAGATCGTTTTTTTGAGATTCCAGTTTTCTCTCTCCTTCTGCTAACGCATGGAAATCTTCAGGGGGTGGAGATTTAAAACATTTGTCTTCCTCCAAGGATGATGTGGGAGAGATTGTGCCAGCGGAAGGAACATAGTCGAGACCTTGGGTTGCTTCAGTCCGAGAGGAGGGCATGCTGTTTACTGTGTCTAGAAGTAAAGAGCTTTTCCCAGTCTCTTCTGTTTGTGGTGCTGTTAAAGATGCAACAGACTGATCTTCTGCTACTGAAGTTGCAAAAGATGAAAGCTTATCACATTCTGTAATGGAGGTAGCAGAGGATATATGTTCTTCCTCAGCTAGAGGTGCTGCCACAATGTTTGTGGGATATGCCAGGATTTCAGACTCCTGGGCAGCATAGCCCTTGGCTGAAAGTTCAGCTGCAGGCATGGCCTGTATTCCATGTATTGCTTCAAAAGAGCCTGGGCGGTCAGGAACAGAAATGTCATAGGTATTGACATCATACTTCAAGTGTGGGATCCTCTCTTCCTGTTCATCATGGATTTCTTCATCAGAAATGGTCTGCTCTGTTTCTGAGTAGCCTGGGATAGTTTCATCCTGGATATATGAAACATGTTCTGCTGTTGCTCCTGGTGGGACTGGCAGACTGCTCAGATATGACTCTTCCTTTGTTATGTCCCTTCCAAGTAATTTGCTTTTCTCACCCATGTCACTAAATTCTTTTTCCTTTTCTGTCGTGGTAAATATTTTGTCCTCCCTCTCATCCTGATTCAGCTCATAAAAGTCTCTAATTTTTTCCACCTTCTCCTCTTCCTTCATGTGCTGTTCTTCCTTTTCTTCCAGTTCTGCCTTTTCTATCACATCTTCTCTCTTTTCCTTCTCACCCTCTTCCTGTGTCTCTGTCCCCTCAATATATTTTTCACCAGTCTTTGTTTCTGCTTCCCTCTGTTTTCTGTCCAAAAAGATTTTCTCCTCTTCCTCCTTTTCATCCTCTCTGAACGCTGATGACCGAACACCTTTTGCTAAGAGGTCTGTCTGTGATGGTACCTGTTCTTTGTCTGGAAACAGCTGAACTTCCTTGTCCTGCTCAGCTTTTCCCTCCCAGTATCTCATGTCACGATTTTCATCTACTGTTGTTCTTTCATCCTCCATTTTTTCAGCATGACCTGCTCTCAGTTCTAGCTGATGAACTGCCTTTTCCTCTGCTGGTGACTCTTTTTCCACATCAGTAGCAGTTACTCCCTGATCAGGAATGTCTGTTTTCAAAATCAGATCCACTTCAGTGCAACTCTGAGCAATCACGTCAGCAGAGTCTTTGATCTCTGTTTCAGGTACTCTCATAATCTTATCACTAACCTCAATATCAGACATTTCTTGAGTCACCTGCAAGGCCCCTTTCTCCTCGTGCTTCAGGTCCTCAAAGTCCTTTGTAAGATCTTCTGGTGAAGACAGGACTAGCCTCTGCTCAGCTATGGAAGTCTCTCCTGGCTCCACCTGTGCCAGTGCCTTCTCCATTGGCGATGTCTTCAGGTCAGCAGGCACTTCCTTTTCAGGTTTGACTTTGATCTTCTCACTTTTGATTCTGCCTGGAACTTTTGCCTTGTATAATGTTTTTCTTACTTCTGGAGTAAATGGTTTTAAGTCTGGTTTAGAAATTTTCTTGGGCTCTGGTTTGGTTTCTTTCTTTTTATCCTCTTTCTTTGAATCTTTTTTTTCCTCTTTCTTTCCATCATCTTTTTTTAAGTCCTTTTTCTCCTTCTTAATCTCTTTCTTTTCTTTGTCTTTCTTCTCTTCCAGCTTGGATACTTTCTCTTTGAGATGCTTTTTTCCAACCTTGTCTTTTGCTAATTTTCTTTTCTCAGCTTTGAGAGCATCACTTGTTTCTGTCTTTATCTTTTCATGTTTAACAGGTTTCTCAGGAATTTTCTCCGTGTGTTCTTTAACCTTTTTCTCCGTTTTAGTATCCTTTATGACTTCTGGTTTTACCTCCTTAATCCCCTCCTCAACTGCCTCTTCTTTCTTAGCTTGCTTTGTCACAGATGGCTTGGGGGAAGACTTAAGACTCTCTTTACTGTCAGTTCTTTGTTTAATTTTGGTCTGCTTCAGCACAGGTGGAGGTATTCCAGAAGTGATATCTTTCTGAGTAGCCACTGGGTACCTCAGAAAATCCAGGTGCTTGAGTTTCTCAAGACCTTCCAGTATCTTATTTTGAGGAGCATTTCCAGGAAACAAAACCCTTACAATCTTCTCTGTTGGGCTAGCTGGAAGCCACACCACTAGGGCAGTGATGGATGTGAGATAGGGAACAGAAATTTCACCTTCCTTCCCGCTTGCGAGAATTATGCCAGTCTTTGCTTTACTATTACCAGCCCATTTTTGCATTAGAAATTGCATTTCTTTACTGTCCTTGACAGGATTCAGTATATACATGTCCAGCTTACCCACTCCCATTTTGTGGAAAAGCGTGATAGGTTCAATGGTATTGCTCACCACCCTGTAGAGAGGCTCTGCTTTAATGCCCAGTCTGTTGAGATACTGCAGTGTCAGACAAGCTTCCTCGATGCTCCTCTTCACTTTCATGGATGATTCAGGCATCTTCAGTTTTTCAGGAACATTAAAAAAAACCACTCCTAGCTCAGGAGAAATTAGGTTCTTCATCCAGTCACTGTAGTTCGTAGAACCCTGGGACTGTTCCTCCTCTTGCTCAGCAACTTTCCTCTGCAGCAGCCCATTGATGCCAGGTAGGTTGTCTGCACCAATGTGGGTGAGCAGGATTGAGTCAATCCTGTCCAGGTGCCTTACCAGCTTCCAGAAGCAAGATTTTCTGTCAGAGCCACCATCCACAAGGATGTTAAACCCATTGACAGCAAAGAGAGCAGAATCACCTCTTCCCCCAGGGAATATGTAGCAGCAGGGTTTAGAAAGCTTCAGAAAGCCCCCTGAGGTGGGTGGCTCCAGGAGATCAAACGGAGACGGCACGTCAACTGTCTCAGAGACATATTCTGCAAACTCAGACACCCCATCCATTTCTGGCAGAACTGGATCAGGATTCAGTTTCAGATGAATAATCTCCTGAAATCGAGGATGCCCAAGGTTGCTCCAGTCTCCTTCTCCCAAGCACGACACAGTAAGGGAGGCCTTGATATCTGAATCAGTGTCGCTAAGAATCTGGGTGACCTAATGAGGCAAGCACAGACAAATAAAGGTCAAACAGGGCTCCGAGACCAATTCGGCACTTGAAAAAAAACAGCCAGTTAATGCAGAAATACTGAAGACACCATGAGTGCTTTACTGACAGTAACACTAGGAATGGATTAAATAGTCCAAACGCCCGTTGCAAATAGATGCATGGGGCCATGTTCTGCTCTCTTCTGGAATTCTTAATGTTGATGAGCTGTTATGCTTCCCAACTGTTGGGAGTGCGCAGTGACAAGACCTCAAGAAAGAAAACCAAAGCAGGAATCACCCTGTCCTCTTTCCTTACTTCTTCCACTTAACCTGGGATATCAGCCCCCACCTTGGGCTCAAAAGTAGCAGTTTCTTTTTGATTTGTGAATTCTAACCCTAAGCATCATTGTCTGAACTCATCCTCACTCACTGGCTACTGAACAATCATACAGCACTTTTCGTGCAGTTTTACTGCCATAGGGCTTCCTTTTTTATTCAGATTCATTTTCTTTCCTGGGCCCTATTTTGAAAGTCGTGACTCCATTTCTGATATACATACAGGGTTGGGGACATGCTACATGATTAATAAGTAGAACTAAGGTCGATATAATTTCCAAGGCTCCTTAGAGCTATGCTGAACATATCCCGAGCATTAAGCCTCAGGCTTCTTAAGTACCTGGAATGAGATTAGTACACTTCTTTACACTGTGTTCTCTTGCTTAGACAACCCTTAATTGACTAGTTAGTGTCCAAATAAATGGGTACCAGAAATAAATGAGAACAATCAGCCTAAAATAAATGAAGGTGGGCAGATTTGCTGATGTAATTACAGCAACAATGATAACAATTGTCAAAATATCACCCAGCCATTCCTGCAGCAGCTGTACATTCAATCAGACGGAGACATTCGGAACATCTGGCACACAATGATCAGTGGAAGTACGGCTTATCAAAAACTGAAGCAGCGTATTTGTATTGGCAAGAAGCACCAATAGAGAGTTTAAAGCCCATGAAGACAGCTATAGTACACCTAGCTAAGATAATCAGCATTGGAGCAGAGGTTCAGAGGTCCTATATGGTTTTCAAGATCCCACTGGACAAAGCCCTGAGCAATCTTGTCTAAATTCAGCACTGACCCCGCTCTATGCAGGAGGTTGGGCTACAGACCTCTCAAGTGCTCTTCCAACCTGAATGATCCTGCAATTCTACCACTAAATAACAGCATTTGTAGTTATTCAGTCATCATGTAGTTACTTAATCAACATTTCGTCATCCCCTTGTAATCTTTACACACCCGTAATGAACACTCTGAATCTTGTGAACAGCTTATGCTTGCTGGACTGACTGTGAAATGAAGAAAAGTTCCCACATTTACCAGGGTGACGATGGCCTCTGTTGGCTGTTTTTTGGAAGCTGCCCACAAATATTTTAAAGCCTGCTTTAAGAAATTTTGAGTCTCTGCCCACTGCAGAGCCAGTCTGGAAGGTTATTTGAAGCTGAGCACTTGAAGGTGGAACCACCCATGTCTGCCACCTTGGAAAACTGAAGTCAGGGAGTTAAAGCAAGATGCACAAGACTATAGCAGGAATTATTTATGGCGTGCAACTGTTTTGCTGGATTTGAAGCCCATCCCTCTGCAGATCTGCCACCCAAGGGAGCAGTGCAGGCTGTATTGCTCTATCGTGCACTCTGTCAACAGGAGGGGACATGCTGGCTCACTGCTCACACTCACCTCTGGGTCTGAAAGTATCTCAGCAAACTTCTGGTAAGTGAAGGTCCCCGTCTGCAGGATCAAGTCTCCTTCCTGGTCTGAGCTCTGACCACAGAAGATCAGTAGTTTGTGGGCTGATGAATCACACACAAGTGAGCGGACCTGTTACCATGAGACAGAGAGCTGCAGTCAAAAAGGTGTCTGTGTTCCTCACCAGCAGCCAGAAACCTAAACACATGGACAGGCAATACTTACACGCTACTCACAAACAGCAAAAACATAAGTTTTCTACATAAAAGAGAGTAGGTCATGAAGAGGTAAGACAATGCTACCGCCTGTTGACAGCTCAATGTCAACTCATAATTCACATTGAGAAAGTAGGCCAATGCTTAGAGAAAATGTTTGGCATTGCACTGCCACATAAAAGGTCAGTGCATTTAGACTCTCATCAAACTAGAATGCTCAAGGTTCAGAAGCCCTCCACCTTGCTTGCTAGGAAACTCTACAAGCTCCTGAGAAATCCTTAAAATCGGGCAATTCTAAGGCACTAACTCTTCTGGGAAGCAGCTCATTCCTAAAGGGCTACCACACAAGAAACCATACGCTCTCCTATGTTTCTTTGTCTAGCAGTAAATTCTGCCACAGAGCACTGGTTACTGCCTATGTCTTTCTGGCAAGACCAGAACAGCCAGCCACCTCACCACCCTTTGCAGCAGACTGGCAGCATGTTCCAGCTCTCCAGAAGGTGCAAAGTGGGATGACCATGACCTCTATGTCAAGCAAGGGCAGGAGAGCTGATGCAGAGAAAACCCGAGGGATCTACCTGGTCCTTACCTCAGAAACAATGCTGTCCACATTGGGGTTTACCAGGATCACTGTCTCCAGGGTATCGCTCCGGTGATGGAGGGTTCTTTGGCCTGGGGAGAGGCAAGGGATTAGACAGGATGGGAGAAGCTGATGGGACAGTATCTGTCTACCAATGCTTTAGCCTCAAAAATTCCACTTCAGCATGGGTGTGATCGCAAAGCTTCAACTTGCATTCTAGACCCAATTTAATACCCAGCTCTCATAAGCCAAAGCAAACTCTTTTCAGTAACAACGCAAAAAAAAATCTTAGTTCTGGACCAGCACAATTTGCAACTCAACTCTGGGTTCTGAAGTCCACAGCACAGCAAACTGTCCGCTTGTGCTGGACCGCTGTGCCCCAGGAACGCTGGCACAGACCAGTTGTCCCCTCTGGGCAGACGCATCTTCCCTCACTGCAGCTCCATTGCAGCACAGAGAGGTACCTCTGGATGTTGCCCAAGCCTCAGTCACCGCAGGGCTTTGTGAGCCAGCTGGAGCGCACCAACTCACCCTTCGCTACAGCGGTGCGGCACTAATAACAAATCTCTCGTCATTCTTAATAAGTTTTTTCTCTTCCAAAGTGTTTTTCTTTAATCCAGACCTGCAGTCCTGGAGGTAAACTGCTGCTACAGGAACTAGCTAGACGATAAGGACGCTTGTTCTCCTGCACCCTCCCTGTGAGAATCACAAACAGGCACCCAGAGAGGATTCTGCTCTCTCTATATATTTAGGCAGAAAGGGAAGAGCCAAAGAAGAGCAAGCAAGAGCCTGACAGTGCAAAAAAGCAGACTGTGTGCTCTCCTTGTTACGGGCATTACATGGATATTTGGAAAAATACCGACATAATGCCTGGGCCCTATCAGTTTATGAGAAAGAACAGTGCTTGCCATCCTGAACGGCAGCGCTAGAGCCACCATCGTGCACCCAAGTCAAGCAGCTCTGGGAAGTGGGACAGTGAGCCGGACCTTCCTACAGCACTTCCCTTGACACTGCAGGCAACACATCATTTTTTGGATTCTGGTCTTTGCAAATACCTATTTCTGGATGCTACATCCACTCTACAAGCCTCGCACTTAGAACTTAGCTGGTGGAATGTACAGTTTATAGGGTTTAAATCTTTCATAGGCTTTAACCCCTTATATAGACCAGAGTGGCACAGATCTTCACTGCAAATTCACATCTATTTCTATTTTGTCATCTTCCAGACAACTGCTGCTCTCTCACAATGCTGCTGTCTCTTTCCGCCCGCCCTATTCCACAACCTCCCATCAGCGCTTTCTAGGCAGATCTCAATCCTTCTAAACCAGCTTAATCAAACTGGTATTTCAAAGAAAGGCACCAAAAGGACACAAAAAGAAAAAAGTCAGAGAAAGGCCAGTACTCAGTACAGTTTTAATCAAACCCAGTTTACTGGGATGTTTTACTTGGGCTGCCAGCAATTATGTATGAACCAGACAGATATGCCCAGAAGGCAACTTTCAGCCCAAAATGAAAGCGGCTCTTAGCTCTCAGCAGAACTATTTATACTCTGTATCTCTAGCTGCTTTCTGAACTTGTGTTCTTTCAGTCTGTCTAAAAATGGTCCCTCCAGACTGAAACAAACCCGTCCCTGTGCAAAGGAAGCACTTGCGCTGAGTTCAGTGGCATTTCTGCGCTGGCTGTGGGATGCGGTGTCTGGGCCGCCGGGGAGGCTGGGACCCAAGCCCCTGCGCCAGGGGGATGCTGCGAGCGAGCCGGCGGGGAGCGGGGACCGGGGTGGGAGGGTGGCAGGCGGCGCAGACGCGGGGGGACAAGGAGTGTTCTGGGGCAAGACTGCTGCCAAAAGAACCAAAAACCCACGCGTCCTCCAGGTAATGGTACTTGTAAAGACACTGGTGGCACGGCGGCACTGCTCCATGAGCACAGGGCGCACCTCATTTTCTCACTGACTGCATCGTGCAGCTTTCACACAGCTCACCCCACAGCAGGACCCCGCTGATGCTGCTTGGAGCACCCCAAACAGCAGCCGTCAGCCCCCGTTTTTCAGCAGCAGGTCTGGGACAAAGCGAGACCCAAACAACGCCATCCCCAGGCTTCAGCTCCTGCCGCCTTGCTGCCTGCGCACCCAGACAGACGTTTTTAGCCACTGCTACCCGGGCCGCCCAGAGAATGCAGCTCGGTGCGCAGGGCCAACACCAGCGGTCTCTCCTCGTGCCACGTGAATGGAGGGCTCTGGGGCACACACTGGCGCCCAGCGTGCCGGCATCCTTCCCGGCACCCGCAGAGGCAGCGCCAGCCCCAGGGCTGCAGCTGGGCAGCGCTCCGCAGGCGACCACGGCTGTACGGGGACAGAACCCCTCTGCGGGGCCAACAGGCGTGAGAGCACTGCTGCTCTTTGCCATTTCTGGGGTTCCAGCCCAAGCGGCCAAGCTGTCGCTGCTGAGACTG